AAATTAATACATGCGATATTAAATCGCACAAGTAGTTTTAGTTATTTGTATGATTCGGGATTTCCTAAAAAAATATTGATTAAATGATATATATTTATAGTTTTTAACTGACTTCTCCCGATGATGGTTTTTGTGGTTTTCTAAGACATAAATGAAGAAAGCCGTTTGTTTATTTTACTGCTTGCCCTTTTTATCCCGTAAATATTTAAGGTTCTTGGATAAAATAAAAATATATAAGATGGAAAATATATATTTTATAAGGAATTAAGAGTTACAGTAAGTATATTTGATTACTACTACAAGGTTGGACTCTCATTGCGCTAGAGGAGTCGATGACCTCAAGACTCACCTGGTCTCAAATGGGTCCTAGAGCCCGGACATCATCATCCTGAATATCTCGACCCGCTTTAAACATATTTCCTGTGGGGAATTTATTTAGAAAGGGTTTTATTGTCGAATAAATAACAATATCGCGTGAAAGGCCAAAATTTGAATGGGGAAATTTTAACGTTCCCTCCTCAAATGACAAATTACGGAACCTATATGTTTTCATGGGTATTTCATAGATAGCTTACTCGAAGACTTTGGAATTATATTCAGTATCATATAGATGAAATTTATAACTCACTAGCTTTTGCCCGCGACTTCGTCCGCGTGGAATAGTTTATTTATTTATTATTTATTATATGCTTTATTTTAGAACAAATTTGGTTAGCATAAAAAACGTTATAGTGAGCCAACCTTAACATAAATAGACATATGCTGTCGCGGATGTTTTTTTTCAGATCTTTTAAAGAGGAACAAACCTGTAATACATTATTTTAGCGAAACTTTAACCGTTTCTGCAGCGCACGCAGCGGAAGCTCTCAAAAGGGAAAAAAACCCCGATTTTGAAACATTCTTTATTGGTGTGTGATATTATATAGCCTTCCTCAATAAATTGGCTATCTAACACTGAAATAATTTTTCAAATCGGACCAGTAGTTCTTGAGATTAGCGCGTTCAATCAAACAAACAAACAAACTCTTCAGCTTTATAATATTAGTATAGATTTGGATTCGATGGACCGCTATTTAAGTGTTTCCATATACCGATAAAAATTTATGTTCTTAAAATATTCTATGAAGTCAATTAGTACATTGTAAAAACTGCTAGAATTACATACTATCAGTGATATATCTCCAGCAATAGGGTTAGGTCTCACACAAAACAAAACAAAAATATGCTGTAGTAATTCCTTCCCCAATTATAAGAACACAATAGAGCATAATTTGCTATAGCAATTTCAAAATATACAAAAATATATATATTTGTTCAGATAAATTCGACTGTGGGACGTCCATCTAGAATGGAACAACCACGTCTCTTCCGTGGGTGTAAGGAAGGATCCCGTAGGCACAACCCACTGAGTTTTTCGCCGAATTTTCTAAGTGGGCCGCAATTCCGATGCGACAATAAATTCAGCGAAGCATTATTCTTGATAGGACAGATGTTAGGAAATTCAAATTAAAACTGAATAGGTTAGAATAACCGCTAGGGACAGCTAAGTAGGCAAAAAAATAAATAAAAGACATCCATCGTAGAACAGACAACAGCATTTTTTCCAATTTCATAGAACTATATACTTCGATCGCGAACTACCATTTACTAATAGTAGAGAGTACCTTAAGCCCACACGAGTAAGTACTATCACTCCGCCTATTTCTACCGCGAAGTGCTTTAGAGTTGAAGGATTGGACAGTTTTTAATACCGTAAAACTTCTCAAGTCTCAAGATGGAGGGGCAGCAATCATATTGTCATATCTACGGGCTCCAGTATCCACTCTACGCTGTTCGAATCGTACCGGGATTACCTTGGCCCATCACCGAAATACAAAAGATAATCGTTTATTTAAGACAATGAACTACTGTAAATATTATATAATTTATCATATAGGACAGAATTCGTCGTGGCCTAAAGGATAAGACGTCTGGTGCATTTGCACGCGATGAATCGTGTTCAAATCCCGCTTTCTATTGAAATATTACGTACTTAACAAATGTTCACGATTGACTTCCACGGTGAAGGAATAACATCGTGTAATAAAAAATCGAACCCGCAAAATTATAATTTGCGTAATTACTGGTGGTAGGACGTCTTGTGAGACCGCACGGGTAGGCACCAACATCTTGCCAATTTCTGTCGTGAAGCAGTAATGCGTTTCGGTTTGAAGAGTGGGGCAGCCGTTGTACTATATATATATATTGAGTATAGTATATATATTGAGACCTCAGAACTCATATCTCAAGATAGGTTTTTTTTTATTTATTTTTTTATTGCTAATATGTGTCTACGAGCTCACAGCCCACCTGATATTAAGTGGTTACTGGAGCCCATAGACATCTACAACGTAAATGCGTCACCTACCTTGAGATATAAGTTCTAAGGTCTCAGTATAGTCACAACGGCTGCCCCACTCTTCAAACCGAAACGCATTACTGCTTCACGGCAGAAATAAGCGGGGCAGTGGTACCTACCCGTGCGGACTCACAAGAGGTCCTTCCACCAGTAAGTACGCAAATTATAATTTTTGCGGGTTTCATTTTTATTACACGACGTTATTCCTTCACCGCAGAAGTCAATCGCGTATTTCATTAGAAAAATTTGTACCCGCCTGCGGGATTCGAACATCGGTGCATCGCTAGATCCGAATACACCGGACGTCTTATCCTTTAGGCCACGACGACTTCAAAGGTGGCGGCATTTACGTTGTAGATGTCTATGGGCTTCAGTAACCACTTAACATCAGGTAGGCCGTGAGTACGTTCACCCACGTACGCAATAATAATAATAAATTATATTATATATTAAACGTTATAAATATCCATATATCCCTTACTTTGACAAGACCCGAGACGTGTTTTCTGAAGCGCTTCACTGTCTCAGCTGAAATATTTGATAATCCTTCTAATATTAAAGCTTTAGCAGCGGATGTGGTCTTTAATAATGTAAGTATGAAAATAAACTGCTTTATCTTTTTGACTGACTTGGTGGGGCAGGAGTGAGCGCCCCTAAAGGTTCCGCCGAGGGACGTGGGTTCGGTTCCCATATCGGGCAAACATTAGTGTGATGACCAGGTTTGCTTACCCTTTGTCTCTTGGCTGTTTACTATTTCTTTATGTATTTATTTCAACCTATTCCCATGACACAGGCAATCCTATGCTGAAAATCCTCAAAAGAGAAAGGGGGTATTTCACGCCTGAACAGAGACTTGTGCTACATCAAAATCACAAGAACGACCTCGCGTCGATTACTGGTCCCATCTCTGGGCCGGGACCAATTAATAGCTACTTCCACTTGACTCCATAAAGACGGTCGTTTGGCTTGTCGTAATCCCGTTCTCACAGATCGTTTAGAACCTCTGGGTAGCCTATTGAATTTCTCGGCAGATCTTCTCAGTGTATCGCGATTCCGACCCGTTGGTAGATTCTGGGAAGCACTGCTCTTGCTAAGGCTAGTGTTAGCAAGTTCTCCCAGGATGAGCCCTTGAGCTCACCTACCCGTCTGCCCGTACGTGGAATAGCCCATTAGGCCATCAGCGAATAGGTAAGGAAATAGGACCTTTTGGGTTTATGGAGAAACTTCGGTTCTCTCTGTGTTTTGTACGATACGTTTTTTTTTTTGGCTTAGATGGGTGGACGAGCTCACAGCCCACCTGGTGTTAAGTGGTTACTGGAGCCCATAGACATCTACAACGTAAATGCGCCACCCACCTCGAGATATAAGTTCTAAGGTCTCAGTATAGTTACAACGGCTGCCCCACCCTTCGAACCGAAACGCATTACTGCTTCACGGCGGAAATAGGCGGGGTGGTGGTACCTACCCGTGCGGACTCCAAAGAGGTCCTACCACCAGTGAATACGCAAATTATAATTTTGCGGGTTTGATTTTTATTACACGATGTTATTCCTTCACCGTGGAAGTCAATCGTGAGCATTAAAATCTGTTGAGTACGTTCCACGAGGAGTACTCTGAGGAATTGTTTGAGATGATTCTTCCATCTCCTTTTTGCCACACACCGCTAGCCACTGAAGCAGGTTTCACCTATACCATCTGGAATCACTGCGTTTATCCACAGTATGATTGCAGATCTCTTTTCTGCCACGTACCCCCCAGCTCTGGAATGAACTCCCTCTAGGATACGTTACGACATGTTTTTCTTCAAACGAGGTTTGAAAAGACACCTCAACAGTACGTAGCAGCTTGTCTCTGCCTCTAGTGATATCCGTGAGCGACAGCTATTACTTACCGTCAAATGGGCCGGAAGCTCAACTGCCTACAAAGGCAAAAAAAACTAACGTAGTGTCTGAAATACATTTTTAAGCACACAAAACACTTAAGCTCGACACGTATTTTATTTACACCAAACAAATTTAATAATTAATTTAATTTAACTGCTTATATGAGAACTCTTATCTGATGCAGTAGGCAGGCTTGGCTCTCCCCCTGGCATTGCTGAAGTTCATGGGCGACGGTAACCACTCACCATCAGGTGGGCCGTATGCTCGTCTGGCTACAAGGGCAATAAAAAAAAACATTGAATATAAAATTTATATTGGCTATCAATTCTATAGATTAATATAAAATTCAAATTGAGTTAACAAGAGCTTCAGTAGCGATGGCGTGCGTCAAAGCTTCGCGTGCTTTACGAACATTCACAAATTGTTCAGCAATTCTAAGTGATGAAAATATTGTTATGCCACCTGTAAATAGCGCCATATATCCGGTTGATTTACGATCTCGAAACTTATTTCCAAAAACAAACATTGCTTAACTTCTTAATAACGAAAGAATACAGAAACCGATTTTCATATTTTTTTTTTTCAAATTAAAAAAGTTCACTTTGTTTTCGCGGATCTCACCAAAACAAACATTAAAGAAACCTCATCAACGCGCCTCGAATGAATTTTTAATTCAATTTTTTTTTCTTCTTCTTTCATTTCGTAAAGCAATAACTTACCCATAAACTTTTCAGTTCATCAACATCACGGCCGTTTCCCCGTGAGGGCACAGCTTCAAGACACGGCTAAAAGTTCACTTTGCAACGTACGATTTCTACGTCACAGCACTGCTTATAGTGATATTAACAAAACACAAATTCCATGGAATTTCACCACTGATAAGTTACGTTCGGTTACGAACTTATTCGGGAAACTTTACGTAGTTAGCTCCGTGAGCGGCGTTGGACGAGTGTGCTACAGCGGCGAACGACTGCGAGTGAATGACTAAACCGGCGATCGGCGCTATCGTAGTACGCAGTCACTTACTTACCAACTTACCGCCGCGTGTAAAGGTAAGCTGTGCGCTCTCAGCTGTTACCGATATTGTAAATGTAGTGACCATTCAAACTTTGACACGATAGTTCATCATAAAAACTAAGTTATAAGTGATTTAACTTTATTAATTTCTTTGTAAATACTTCGCATAAGTTATAAAGTTAATACTCGCACATGAAAACATAGCTCACGTCACATTTTATAATTAAAAAAAATATATATTTTTTCCTACCAAAGCTGATAGCTTTGAGAGGCTATTTCAGCTTCTCCTTGACGTGTAGGTGAGCTCACGGGGCTCAAACCGGAGCGATGCTAACACTGACCCTAGCAAGAGCAGTGCTTCGCAGAATCTACCACCGGATCGGAAACGCGACCCACTGAGAAGATCCGGCAAGAAACTCAGTGGGCTGTGTCTATGGGTAGTAGTATAATTTAATCATTATGTAATGGCTCAGCTCATAGCGATGACACGGACAGTAAAATATCCAATGGTCCATTACGAAAAAAACAATAACAAGTTTATGTTGTGTGACGACATTAATTGTGTCGTGTTTAGAGTAGATTGGTTTTGTAAAAAGCAATTGTAAAGAGCTCAAACAGTGCATATTACCGTTGAATGCGCTTTAAACAGTTAACGCTCCGAATTACTGGGTAAATACATAAAACAGCTAACACTCCGAATGAAAATTACTGGGTAAATACATAAAATTCTATCGTCATGTGACACAATCGTATCGCGTGTGGACAAACGCTGGAATTAGCTCAATGTAATAATGATATCCTTTATAACTGTAGTTTAATACATTCATAATTAGTCTGGTATTCCACTTGAAAATTCCCAAAATGCAAAATTTATTTTACACTAATAAATCGGAGAAACTAACAATGAACCTCGTTCGGTAAAAGAATAAGTAAGAACATTTCTTTCGAAAATTCCCTTCAAGTGTCTTTATAGCTAGTTCGAGTGCTCTTGAGAAACAAAGTTATTTCAAAAACCGATATTTCGAAACTGCTGCGTCATTCTATACTAGATATAATACTGCTATGCTACCAATGAGGATTTCGATATGCACAAAATCATATTTTACAGCGAAGAAATATTTATCGTGATGGTTTATTCAAAATTCTTTATTGTAATTTGGTACATATTTAATTTAATTTATAGAATTATCATATTTATGTTATTTATTTTACTATTTTTAACATTTCAACAATGAAATTACTCATCATCATCAGGACACAGCTTCCCACATCTGGACAAAACCTCGGCCAATTTACTCGACTGAGCCCGATTTTCGGGTGTCCTCATCACTTCTAACTGGTGGTCGACAAATCAGTCAAAGCCGGCACAAATCATCGCTTTACATAATCGGGGACAATGGAATTGCCAATGACCAACCACTAAAAGGACGCTACAGCTAGCTACCATACCAAGTGGCCTGCTAACAAATGTCCTCATCTACCTCAAAAAACAATCAAAAAAGTATTAAATTGTGTAGAACCAAACCTTTTCGTGTGGATCAAAAAAATTCATCCGTTGTAATTGAAGTACCTAGGATTGAACAATCGAGACGGAGGCGGAAAATCCCCTAAGTGCTTCGGTTCCCCTCCGTATTTCAGCTTGGGGATGGCGGGGAGACCAAAGAGCACCAGTTGGTGCACCTTTTTAGGCGAGCTTTAAGCGTCATCTTGCCCCCCATCTGTCTCGATTGGATTCTATCCCATCCTAGACTCCGCGTGAGTTGTTGAGTGTCAGGAAGCTTTAGTCGGCTGAACTTCGACATACCCTCGTTACCATGTAAGCGGAAGTCTGGCAAATTTAATTTTGAACCAAATAATACATTTTGTTATAAAACCACAAAAAAATGCTTTAAAACCAAATCGAACTAAATATGTGTATTTTTTTTCTATCTTGATGATCCTAATCAGAATACAAAGCAAAAGTCCTTGATTAACAATATTTTTCATTATATGAAAAGTAAAATAAACATGTATTCCTATCAGGCAAAAAAAAACATTGTAAGCTTTTCACACGACTTAGGGTTTCTGTTGACGGCTCTATCGCTTTATTCGACCACTGTATCATCGCTGTTGTATGTACGCGAAAATAAGCATTAGTTCTGTAGCTAATTAATAATTACTGATATATTTTATATTACTATAAATATCACATTGCAGAAATAACGAAGCAATGATAGCGGCGTGGCGACCTGAGTGATCCTATTCGATGTTCATAAATACGCAGTTTTTTTTCTACCAATGCTGATGGCCTTAAGAGGATAGTTTCAGCTTCCCCTTGGCGTTTAGGTGAGCTCACGGGGCTCGAACCGGGAGTGTTGCTAGCACTGGCCCTAGCAAGAGCAATGCTTCGCAGAAACTACCACCGGATCGGAAACGCGCCCCACTTAGAAAATCCAGCGAGAAACTCAGTGGGCTGTGTCTATGGGTTAATTCACTCGTCGAGCCCTTCGTCGCAAGTGACGGGTTCGGTGAGGACGGTGACCGGAACATTCAGCGTGACTGCAGCGTGACAATGTATTTCTAGCCTTTAGCCCTAGTGTGTATGACAGTGATAGATAGATCATAGATCACACACTATATCAAAACAGTACAGTTTCAGGAATAGGTTCTATTTAGTCCAGCCCGCATATTTGCTACAGAACAAAGCCCAAAGCTAATAGATGACAGCGTAGAGTCGAGTTCATCAATATAGTGTTTTACCCTGATTAACTTTGATACGAATACCGATACCGTCGACTCTAGTATAGAAACGTGCTTAAAATACGAATCGTATTCGTCGAAAATGACCGGTAACCGCCAATTAAACGCCTGTGGCTCCATCAACAAATTGAAAACGAAAACCGACGAACACAGTACTATACTAGATACTCTTGTTTTTTCAATACGAACAATATACAAATATTTTTACTGGTGTTAGGGTGAGTGCCTTTAAAAATCAACATATTAATTTTTTATTACTATAATCGGTGAATGACCTTACGGACCACATCGTATTAGGGGGTTGCTAGAGTGAATAGAAATTAAAACATGAATTCCGATATCCACCTTGAAACCCGAGGCCTAAGTCTCAGTTTAATTATGTAACGGCTGTCCGTTGCTTAGCCGGATATAGCTGCTTTGCGGCTGAAATTGTACAAGCTTCGACTTGTAAGCAAGCAAGAAAATAGCTTAGACGGTACCAATACCATATCGTTAATTGTTTCAATAAAATTTAAATCTATTAAATATAAATATAAAAATGACTGTGATCGCATCACGCACGGTCATCCCGCCTCAAATTTGGATTAGCCCAGCGGTATGGATACTAGACACTGACATACACATACTTATATACATTTCATAATATATACAATTATTATTAATTTATTTATATATTATTTATATGTACACACAGAAAAGAAGACATAGTACAGAGTAATAGGAAAATTATATACAAAGGCGCTGCTTATTTCTTTAAGAAATCTCTTCCAGCAGACCTGCGAGAGGATTATGAGAATAATAATTAAAAATGATGAGTGTGTGTAGAACAAATAACACATAACTAAAATAACAAATACAACATGAGAATTATAGTAATGCACATACACATAGCAATATATGTATAGATGATAATAAAATACTATTCAAAGTTCACAAATTCAAAATTTACTCCATTTGAACCGTCCAAAGGGTTTGCATTCTACAATAATCAAGTTATTTGTTATTCAGGTCTATATCGAATTAAAAGTATTTCAACTCTATCATTTATATTTAAATTTAAGTGACACAGTATTTTGCATCTAAATTGCTTTAGCTTAGACCGAAATCGTGATCAAATTTTTATTAACTTATCTCGACGCCCTAGCTCAGATCGGCTTGAAACTATCACGGCGCGCATCGCCAAATTAAGACATTAGTAGTTTAATTACTTTCACGTAGTTTATTTACAAAAAACTCTCGCTTATACAACAAACTTCGAATAAAGATACCAACAAGAATGCATATAAAAATGACATGTGTCAGAAGCCATAAAAATTCAAGCGACGTTAACCAGGCAGAAAATTAGCCATTCTTCACGTATTAACATAAGAAAAACGAGTCGATATAGCGTTATATAAAGTTGCGCCTTTGTTTCAACAGATCGCAATACAAGTAAGATTGAGTTGATGATTTGCTTTTGAATGAGGCTTCTTATTTATGATTTAGATTACCGGATTGCGCCATTTTGAGAAGGCGGCACGACATGAGAACCCTCTCATCGTAGCCGCTGGAAATTACATACCCGACCCAGTAGACCGAATGGTAAACCGTCGACGTCGCCCAAAGCACGTCATTACGGATCCTCCTGATCCATTAACGGTGCTTTTAGGCACCACAAGCACCGGTCACCGTCCTCGTCGAACCCGTCGCTTGCGACGAAGGGCTCGACGAGCGAACTAACCCATAGACACAGCCCACTGAGTTTCTCGCCGGATCTTCTCAGTGGGTCGCGTTTCCGATCCGGTGGTAGATTCTGCGAAGCACTGCTCTTGCTAGGGTCAGTGTTAGCAACTCTCCGGTTGAGCCCCGCGAGCTCACCTACAAACGTTAAGCTGAAATAGCCTCTCAAGGCTATCAGCATAGGTAGGAAAAAAAAGAAAAATTACCGTAAGCATACGGTATCTTGAATACATCGAAAGGTCAAAAGCCATTATATTTGGTTTAGGGACATTTTTGCAACTTTATTAGCCGTTTGCAACTTTATTAGCCGTTTAAAATTTGGAAAAAACATCACGCAAAAAAACTTCTTCGCTATTTGAATGAGGTAAACATGATTGAATTCAAAACATTGAATTACCATTACTACTAATACTAATTACTACTAATACTAAATAAAACGGACCTTTAATTACAAAGATAAATGTCGCGTATCAAACGAAATGTCACT